AACCGCTGACCTGCTGATCTAGCAGTAGCCTGCAGTGCTGCTTTTAACCACTGCGCCACCTTGGCTCTGTAATCCATGCCTTACATCCATATATCCATCCATACCTCCTTCCTTCCTTCCATCCCTATCCTTATTTCCATCCATCCCTTATATCCATTCATCCATTCATCCTCATTTCCATCCTTCCATCCTTATTTTTTCCTTCTTCCATCCTTCCATTTATCCATCCATTCATCCATTCTTTTATCCTTATTTCCATCCATCCATCTCTTACATACATACATCCTTATTTCCATCCATGTATCTATCCATCCATCTATCCTTATTTCCAGCCATCCATCCACCCTTCCATCCATCCTCCCATCCTTATTTCCATCCATCCTTATTTCCATCCATCCATATTTCCATCCATCCATCCATTCTTCCACCCACCCATCCATCCATCCATCCTTCTTTTTATCCATATATCATCCATCCTTCCTCCTATCCTTATTTCCATCCATCCATTCTTCCATCCATCCACCCACCCACCCATTCATCCTTCCTTCTATCCATACATCATCCATCCTTCCTTCCTTCCATCCTTCCTCCCATCCTTATTTCCATCCATCCTTCATTCTTCATTCCATCCATCCTCCCTTCCATCCATCCATTCTTCCATCCAGCCAGCCATCCTTCTTTCTATCCATCCATCCATCCATCCATAAGGAGGACAAATGGAGGAGAGGGAGGAAGAAGAGGAGGAGAAAGAGGAGGAGGAGGAGAAGGAGAAAGGGAAGGAGAGATGGAGTAGAAAAAGAAAATGAAAAGAAAATGAATGCTGAGAAGGGGAACGAAAAGAGGGGGGAGGAGGAGGAGGAGAAGGAGAAAGGGAACGGGAAGGGGGTAGAAGGAGGAGACCCACTCACGGTCTTGCTGGACGGGGCCACTATCCACGCTGCCACCCAGCCCCGGCTTCTCACAGAACGGAGGTGCCCATCCAGGATCACAGTGGCAGTTCTGGTTACTGTTACACACCTGAGACAACCAGAGGAAGAATGGCGTGAGCCCCCAGCTTATTCCGGGGGCTCCAGGTACACGGGCCGAAAGGGCCAGCAAGGCAAATACAATCCAGACTCCTCCCCACCCCTGAGTCCACCCGGGGTAGAATATTTCCCTTATTCCTCCCCAGTTATTTTTCTTCCCTCCACGCGAACCAGCAAAGCTCACCCCGTGGCCGTGGCATTTGGAGATGCATTTGTCCAGTTCGAAAAAGGAAGCGTTTTGACACCGCTGATCTTTGCACACCTACGCGGAAACACACACACACACACACAAAAGTCACATTAGCAAATTAGCATGGATTTTAGAGTCCATTGGGATTAAACAAAACCGAGCGAGGGATTAGGTGCCACTCCCGTCGCATCATCCGGAGCAAAAGCTGCACTCAGCAGCCACGTAAATAGATTTTTTTTTCCTCCCAACAACCTGTCCTAAACTTGGTCGCTCGGATCTCCAAATATTTCATTTATTTATTGAATTTATACTGCCGTCTATTCACCCTTCCTTTTTTTTAAAAAAAAAGGTTTTTTTGATCAGACACACATTAAAACATTGAACACGGGGTAACCATCCGGGCAAATGTCTTTTGCCACACGTACTAAAATATAAAGTTAAATTGTATAACCGCCACGCTTCTTTGCAATTGGTCTGTTCGGTATTGACAAATATAAAGATATTGTATTTCCATCCAGGTTGCTTT